TGTGTGTGTGTGTGTGTGTGTGTGTGTGTGTGTGTGTGTGTGTGTGTGTGTGTGTGTGTGTGTGTGTGTGTGCGTGTGAGAGACTTCAACACAGCAGCAAGCAGGTGCACCGAGGACCCTCGCGCTCACTTTTTGCATATATGTGTATGATAGAATTTGGAAAACACATCGGTGCAAATTGAAAGGCTGTGTCATAATATCTTTTGTTTTTGTGTTTGTTGGTTTGTTTTTATTTAGGTTTTTTTTTGCGAGCTGGTTATCAGATGAATCCAGAAGCCAGAGAATCCCCCGCCCTTCTCTGTTGGTCTCCACCCTGTGGAGCAAGCAGTGGGCACACCTCGCAAATGGAGGGCGCGCTTACTCCCCGCAAATGGGCAATAGAAAACCGATGCCTGTGCAATCCCCAAAATGCTCTATAACTCTTGTAATGGCTACAGATCCTAAAGTGTGAAACTAAGTTGTTTACTTAAATGTATTCATCTGAAAAATGCTGACAGGATGTGTTCAGATTTGCCTCACTTTTGCCTCACCGGTTCAACTGAAGGACTGAAAGGTTCCGCGGAGGTTAAAAGGAATGCCAGAGCAAACTATGATAACAAAATAAGGATTTTCTGCGACAACGAGGATCTCAGGTAGGAAGTATTCACTTTTTTTTTATTAAGTCAGGAAAAAAATCTAAATGACTATCATCAATATCAAGAACAACAACTTTATTAACATAAATAAACAGTGGTTACGCCGAGCAAGCATGTCATGATTTACACCTCTTTGGAGTATAACTCATTTACATTACACACTGTTTTTACCTTACACAATGTTTCATTTTTAAATTTTTTTTAAAAATGCGTTTGTTTAATTTTCAAGTAATGCAAATTCCTGTGATCTTACTGTACATGTTGCCTAAAACTATTTTTAATGTTTTTAAACTATTTTTAAAAATTAAAGTTTTATGTTGGCTCTTGTTCTAAACTCCAGATTTTTACATTTTCCTAAGTTTAAGATGTTAAACTGAAATTCATACTAAAAGAAAAAACACATACAGTGGGGCAAAAAAGTATTTAGTCAGCCACCGATTGTGCAAGTTCCCCCACCTAAAATGATGACAGAGGTCAGTAATTTGCACC